GTTGAGAAGCATTAACCCCCCCCCCCCCCCCCGATATGGAAATGAAAACAAGCATTGGTTTATATAGACCCCTTGCACACCACCCTCAATTAAATTTCTATTGATCCCTACTCTCTTGATGCCTTGTGTCAGGTTTTAGTGCAAAAAGAACCCAGTGTGCAGACTATTTGCTTTACTTAATTGGATTTTGACAGTGATCCAATATCATGTTTAAGACAATGAAAATGTGTCAAGCTGCTTGCTCAGTGAAATGGAAATCATCCTATTAATTCATCACTAAATGCAGTCCATCTTTGTTTTCCTGCTTCCCATACAGGTCTGGGGAGAAACTGACCGTTTTTTAATTGGTAGCTTTTAGATAAAGAGAAACAAACGCTTGTGCATTCTTTCTCCCCAAAATGACAGTTATTTTGAGTCCTTGGAAAATATCATGTTTGATGTGATGTGCAGCCTCCCAAATGCTGCTAATGGACCGTTCACATTATCATCCCTGCTTGTTTCTGCCTTTTAATGGGTGGGGTGACTAATTCATTTATTATACAAAAATGCAAATGAGCTCCACAATCCTGAGAAGACTTCAGGGGTCTCGGTCTCCCGTGTTTTCCAGCAGGTGCAAACGTTTTTCAGAAAATCTGCGACTGTAGCCTATACATGAACGCCATTTTATTTATTTACTTTGAACCATTAAAATGTGTCTTTGCTGTGAGGCGTTTGAGCAGAGGTGGGCTATTAAGCCATTGTATACAAGGCAGTGCTATTACTGCTGCTGCTAGGTTTCACGGTTCTCATAGTCTCGCATTAGTGTTTCAGTTACATTCCCATAAGCGTTACCATTGATCGGCTGATGAAGGTCGGCCTACTCTGGCTGCTTCCTGATGAAGTTGCAAGCAAACACACACGGTGCACGCAGCGTTTCCCTGCGAGGCTGCCATCAATCAACAGCCCCACTGCCATCCCAATCACCACCACCACCACCCTTTTGTCCCTGACGATTATTTGAATCCAGTCCATGTTTTTGTTTCGCTCGGATTTTTTTTTTCCTCTTTTTGAGTGTGGTCGGGGTAATTCTCCTTCACTAGTGTCTGGATAAAGAAAGACTAGGTCAGCCATGTGGATGCGTCTGTTGAACAGCTGAAGAGGAGGGAGGGGAGGGGGGGGGGGGGTTACAGAGACTGAGGGAGCGATAGGGAGAGTGCCTGTGTGCGTGCGTGCGTGTGCGTGCATAGGAAAGAGGGAGAGAGAGAGAGCGTGTGTGTGGAAAAAGGAAGCGGAGCCTGTAAACGGCGAACTCACTGGTTTCCTACCCCTCGAAACAACTAAGAGCGGTGTGTTACTTTTCATGTGGACACTATCATCGACAGCAACAACACGGCCAAAGGGAATAGGAGCAGTTTCGGGGGGGGTGGGGTGGGCGGCTAGCTAACGTTACACTCATTTGCTCTGCGATTTCGGACGTGAAGAGTCTCTGAATTGAAACTGCCTTTTGTTGGAGCAAGTGCGCGTCTGAGCCCCTCCGTGCGGGCAGAGGGTTAAAAAAACGAGAGGATAAAAGTGTCCACGTTCGCCCCGCATTGCCCTGCTTCTTGGATTTGACCCAACAGGCTTCTCTTTTTTTAAGTTCGGTGGGTCACCCCTGGCAAGGCTCGCGTTTTCAACTTGTTTGCAGCAATCTCTGGGACTCCACGAATCACCAGACTGGCGGGTGAGTAGTTGAATACAAAAAAGGAGAGATTGCAGGATGGTTGTGGTTGGAGGTGGTGGGGGCACAGGCAGGGGGGAGCAGTGTGTGTGTGTGATAGAGAAGCGGAATTTGTGCAACAGTGACGACTAAAGCCGGGTGGCATTTGGAGTTGGAGCTAAAAGTGTCTTAATTGTGTTTATATCCGGTGCAGAAAGCGCGTGTGACCTCGAGTCAAATGTTTTCGAGTGCTCCGCCGGGCTTAAAGTTTGCTGCATTGTTGTAAAACTTGACACTGTCTGGACTGTGTAGCAGACCCTAAAGCAAGCTGACCTGGCCAGTCTGCAACAGGGTTTCAGCAGCTAGTGGTTTCATAGCACTAGAATAAAAGGAAAGCTCGCTGCCCAGGAAAACATACACGAAAGATTTAAAAACTGCTCGTGTATGAGCAATAAGTCAGTTTCGAGGAAAGAAAAAAAAGTTGTATTTTGACAAGGAAAAGTGATGAAACAGTTCGTGATGAGTCAGTGGCACATAAATTTGACGGGTGGGATTTCCCTCATGCTTCACATAAAGGATTGGGTATTGGATTTACAGCCCTGCTCATGTCATAAATTGATTATTGGACTGTAGTAATGGAAAAGAGTTGAATGTTTTTGAAAGAAGGGAAAGGTATTAAGTGTGTGTGAGAGACCAGCTGAACCAGTTGCAAACTGTTGATGGACCATCAAATTAGTTTGACTTCCCTCTTCAGCACCCCAGAGGCTATGAACTCTGGCCCAAGCACATGCAGCTCTCACTGTGGGGTGGTGAAGGAGGGGAGATCTGCATATGTTGTAAAAAGAGCAAAGGGGGGCTGGCTGGTGGGATGTGTGTGTTCAGGAGGGGGCAGCTTAGGATTTGAAAGCAGACTATAGTTATTTGTCTGAAATGCAGCTTATCTCATGTTTTCCAGTTATAGGAGAAGAGGGAGACTTGTTTACTTGAATCACTGTAAAACTGGTCATAGTAAATCTTCATCTGACTCCAGTCAGAAGCTGAATCCACAGGGTATGTGGCCACATAAGCACAAAGAACCCTTCAGCCCTGAGACAAGATTGAAATTGAGGATGGGGGAAGCAGGGATTGCCTTCAGTCTCTGTCACATTAAAGCAGTTCCTTCCTGAAATCCCCCTCCTGCTATTAAATGTACTGGGATGTTGCATTGCTAATTGTGAGGAGCAAATCTTCTCTAATATGTCCAGCTTCCCGTGGCATTGTTTTTGTCCCCTGCTAGTTGAGAAATAACCTCTAGCTTAATGATTCAGATGTGATTAATGCGTTTGAGTGGGACAACAATGTACGGCAAAAGCATGGCAGTTAATGGATGATTGTTGGAACATAAAGGACATTTGCTCAACCTAAAAATTACTTGAACATTTAAGGCTCAGTTGGTTTTTAAAGTCATGTGAATGTGTGACATTGTATAAGTCATGAGGTGTAATTATGGTTAACTCGGAACTGAAGACTGCTGAACAGCGAGCTGCTTCTCTTTAAATTTCAGTGGGAGTTTTTGTTTTCAATGTCATTACGAGATGAAGTGTAAGGATTTTACAGATAACATACAGCATATCTATTATGGAAGATTTTCAGGTGTCTGTTGTCTTGAGTTGATTTGTGCTCCTATATTGGCTGAACATTTGGCAGCAAAACAAGGTTGGGTTTAAAGCTGCATTAACTGCAATTTAGCACAAATTCAGATGAATCATGTAAAAAAAAAAATTTTTTTTTTTTTTTGAAGTGTCGTCCCCCTGCTGTAATAAACCCCTCCACCCCACTCTGTCTTCAGGCCTTGTGTTTATTTCTTGCCCTCTGTGGTCACTGTTGTTAAAATCCACACCGCACTTCTTCCACGCCCTGTTGATCCGAGGTTATAAGATAAATTTTTCAAACCGGTATGGCTCATTTCAAAGATGGAACCATGGAGGCTCCCTGTGCAGGTACAACCCAGGATGGGAGCAGACCTGTTAGACCCAAGAGGCCGTGTTCTGTAGTGCAGAAAGAGTACGACAAAGAACAAGGTAAAACCAGGGTTAACATCGGTTTGGTATGTCAGAGATGGAGAGTATTAAAAGCATCCAAAGGACTAAAATTTGACACAGATGTGGCTTTCTTCCTGCTAGACGTGCAAGCACTGTAGCTGGCTAACGTGTATCTCTGTATCATTAGTAAGCTAATATTAGCATTTCAATTGTGTACCTTTGTATTTAATTATTATTATTATTGTCAATTGCAGTCATCCAACTAACTGCAATGTTAACGTTTTGTTGTCCAGTCAGTGGAAACCAGTGCATTTTCCTGGATTAACAAATAAAGTAATTTTGCTCAGTCTGCTAATTTTTCCTCAGTTTTGGTCCAGGCCATACAGTTCATTTATTTTGGACATAACACTGCAGTCCATGTAGCGTTTTAGTGAGAAGTTGTTAAAATTTACGCCATCAACACAGCTAGAAAAGTGGGGAGTGTGTTCAGGTATCAAATTGTAACATGAAATTTCTTATTTCACACGCAACTCACGGTTGTGTGTGTCAAGTATGCAACATTGAATGTGATAAAACAGTGGCCTGAACATTGGTACTGTGTCAACATTACAGGGAAAAAATTCCTCTGTATAATTTGTTTGTGTGGCTGCAGATACACCCACTGCAAACAACATTAGACATGCATATGGTATTGCTAAAATGCAAATCTCTTTATTTGACATGATGTTGCTGCAAAGCCATCAAAAACCACAGGCTCTT